CAATTGCAAATGGTAGAATAGCCAACACGACCTTTTTGATTGAAAGTTAGGATATTCACTTTTAAACTGCCCAAGAATTTCACTAATGGCATCAATTTTAATTTTTCTGGTAACTATGTATCAGATGTCATTTCAATAAATTTCGTATTCTTCTCCTGACATAGTCGAAGGTTGCGCATAGGCAATAAAAATGAATTTTTAATTCACAGTTTATTTTGATACTTAATCTGATGTTAGTGTAGAAAATATTTAAAGGACTCACTCGGACTTATCGGGTGCTTAATAATTCTTCAATGAATGACTTCCCTATTTCAACCCCTTCCTCTTCTGAAAAGCCTTTTATGGCTGGCAAAGAGAAATAGACAAATCGTCTGGGAAAGTTACACAAGTTGTCTAAAATTCTTTTTCTTGAAAGCAAGAATTTTTTCTTCAGCAGTAAATGCATATACTTTGCTTACCCTGAAGTTAACCCTTTCAATTTCAGCGAAATGTTCATTGATCTTTCTAAACGTGTCTCTTAAATAGGGAATTCTAAGTATCCAATTTCTATTAAATAATCGACCTCTCAGTTCGAAATTGTGTTTTGTAAAAATAAACCCCTATCTTCGTCCCTTAGTTCAAAAATGTGGCTTAGTAACTTTTCTCGGGATAATCATCCGACTTTAGGGTGTGAAAGAAGAGGTGTATGTATACTTCCCATGTTCTCGCATAGTATTTTGAATAATCAATTATCTAGTAGCCGAGATTTTGAAAGTTGATAACTTTGACCTCATCAAGAGCATTCTTTTAACTTGGGATAGTTTTTTGCAGCAAGTATCTGTCTAAGCGTCCTCCAGAAATTACTAGAACAGTTTTTGGCGATATTTTGGTAAGCGGCACATCTGTACCCACATGAATGCATTTTTTACATGATATCTGTGTAATCGAAAAATGTTTGTTATGTTTGTCTGAAAAATAAATGTTTGTCATCGAAAAATAATTGGTTCCGTAAATGCTGTTTTTGCTCTTGTGGAAGAGTATGTGTGTTGTGATGCTAAATAACCAATAAAGTTATCAATAGGCAAAAATTTAAAACAAGTATTCAGTCAATTTTTATTTTATGAGATACATCAACCACGTGATTATTAACCCGGCTACTCGCAGCCCCTTTTATATTCAAGAATAAAGGATATTACAACATTTTTAAAACTAGAGGATTCCCCTGTATTTCTGGATCTGTGGTTAATTTACACAAGGGAATCACCATGTGTAGGAGAGAATTTAGTTGGGAAATCACCGACAGCGGGATTCCATAGCGCTGCTGCTGCAGAATACAAAAGTTCTCTCGACGACACTGTCAGAACTCGCGGTGTCAGACTGTCACATTTGCATAGACTATACTTTATTGAATGTTATGAAACAAAAGCATGTTAAGTTTCATAGAACCTATGGATGGAACACAGTTTAATAAATTCTCCTCTGGAATAAATTTAACCGGCTGCAAATCATGGCATAGTTTAATTAAAAAGATCATTTTACCATTTAAAGACAAAATCATCTGAAATATTTTTTCCGTTATAATAACGAGTCAATCGCACCACAGGCAGCCTTGTCTTTTGTGAGAAGTCTAAATGTGAGACACGCTTTGATTTCTGTCGTAATGAAAGAAAGAAAGGATAAGGAGAAAAAGTATCTTAACCATTTTGTGCCTGCAGCTAAATTCGGCTCATTTTGTAATAAAAGGCAACTTAAGTTTTTAAATCTTTAATAAACATGTTTAAATTTCATTGTGCATATAATTTAAAGATTAAAACTGTACGCTATGCGTTAATCATCAAAAGTAATCACAGAAATAAGTTTCTGCGACTTGTCCCATTTATTGCCGATGTTATTTTTAGAACAAATATTGGTCGTCGGAAACAGCAATTAGAAAAATACAATAGTATTGGCAATACGTTGAGTTGAAGAAGTGCTTCAAATTTCACTGAACGCTTTTAAACTCTATCAAAAGAAAGTTTCTAATAAATAAAATTTTTTAAGCCAAGCAGGGCCGTCTTATATTAATTCTCTCCTCATTTGTTTGACGCAAACTATTGTCTTTAAAACAGCCCTTTTAAGTTTTTTAATATTTTTGTCTTCAACTAATTTTTTCGTAGTTTACAGTGTATAATGTAACTTATCTTATTCTTTCCAGAACCATGAAGTTTAATTAAGAGTAAAGAAGAATTGGTAGTTCTATTTTTCAGTATTTCTACGAATAGCCTCTCAGCCGGTATGGTGGTTAGTAATGCTGATTGCCATACCGATGAGCCTCGAATCTTGGAGAAGGCATGAATGTGCGGCAAGGAGGCACTTAAAATACACAGCGAATTGAAAGTCCAGTCAAGAAGCTGATGGTAGGGAAAGAGGAGTGAGACCCGCCCTTCGGTTTATTCGTCCTCGAAACTGGGACGGAAGCTTGACAAATAAGGCCCTGAGATATACCTAATATCTTGATATTAGATATACCTGTATCAGTGGAGGTTCAAGATACAGCCTGCAGAAATTTTCATATGCCCTATAGCAATATTGGCAACCATATAGAGATATAGATTTAAAAAACATGCATAATATAACAAACATATAAGAGGTACTGGGTGGAGAATATTTTAAGACCGACATAACTTCATTATGTCATCTTTAATGAAGTATTCTCCGTTATCATTTTCTCTAGTTTCATGTGCGCCTAATATATATATATATATACGGCAATACTAGTAACTTCTTAAAATCTGCGAAAGTACTAGTTCTTAAGAATTCATGAGTGTAAAAACACTATATTCCCAGAAAGTAGCTATTGAAAGCTAATATTCGTTGAATTCATAATAAAGCTCTGGTGCCCATTGTTGTCTTTTAACTGTCAACTATTCTAAGGATTGTACTGCGTACTTAGAATGTCCTCCACGAAGGCATGCCTCCTCTTAGGCAGATAGCCCTAGTGTGCTTTGCCGTAATTAAATAAACCAAACCAAAATCATTTAATGCTTATTAGAAAAAGAATTGGGAGACAGAAGAAACTACTTGGTTATCTATCTAAAAAATAGTTTCAGTAAATCGTACGTTTAATACCTTTAAGAATATATTTTCCTAAATGCAGAATAAAAGCAATAGTTATTTATATACATTTATAAATAATCTTATTTAAAATGCTTTCATTTCATTCACCTTAAAGTTTTGTCGGTGTCTTTAAAGAATCTGTAGACAAATATTCCAAACTCCGAAAAATTTTTATATGTAGTTTGAAAGGATGAGAATCTGTATTCAGCATGAGAGACTTCAAGCGTATATGTGATAGGAATCACTACTAAAACTGTTCGCACGCTTGCTAGACGACTTTCATTGTATTTACAGAAATATTTTACTTAACATTTTTGTGTTTTAAGGGTTTCAATGGATAACCCTTATTCTTTACTATCTTTTTACATTGTAAATTCAAAGACAATAAATAAAGCTTTTCTGATAGCGGAAGAGGTATTTTATCCCATTCCTTTTTAACAGCTTTCCAAAGTTCAAGAAGGGTTGTAGGTTGACATCTGGACAATCCGCTTTTTAAAAGTAAAAAAAGCTCAAAAATCCGCGAATGATACATCAGATTTAATAGGGATACGAATGAAGGATATGCCCTTATTTAATATTTTCCAGGAAATTAAAAGTGGATTTTGATGTGCGGCTGCTTGCTTTGTCTTGATGCAGTTCTACTGATTGATGGCGCTGTGGTTAAAGAGAAGGTCTTTCATATTTGAAAACTGGGTATAAAATATGTTCCTGATTATATGTGGAGTTGACCTTAACAATTTTCTGCACTCTTTTAAATTTTTATTGGTCATATGAAAAACGAACAACAATCATAAATCCGTTTATGCAGTGACATTTCTCCATTTTTGTCTCTCATAAAGAATTTTGATGCGTGTTATACTTTCGGCGATATGTCGTGAGGAACATTCCTTTTTTCACATTACTTTTTTTAGCCCTTTTAAGATTCAAACTCGGCTAATCACTTTGTTTACAGTTGCCACTGAGCATTTTAATGATTATGCAACTGTCCTTTTCGTCTTTTCGAGAATATTTTAAGAGAATATTTTCGAGAATATTTTAATATTTCGAAGATTTTCTTTTAACATTAAATTTACCTTTGCAAAATTCGAAACATTCCGTTTTCTCCTTGGATGTGTAGTTTGAACAATTTTTCTCCTTGAAGCCAAACTTTGTCGTTTTTCTTTCCGTTCTTATTGATAATATTATCTATTGTCGCTTTAAATAACGAAAAATCATGGCTTTCACAACTTTTTCTAATAATTATATGCGAATAATTTTCTTCGAAAGGAGCTCAAACATAGCCCTTCGACCATTGTATCTTTAAAAAAGCGTCATTTTTCATGAAACAAAAATTGTCGAACAGCAGACGATAACTTATACCTTAAATATAGTTGCGCTCAAAAAATATTTTCCAAGCAAGCGACTTTTTCCATAGCAAAGCAAAGTCGTTTAACAAATGTACGAGCTGCTTCCGTATATTTATTTGTTTCAATACCAATTCTAAAAACTTTCAGAATAACCCTCTTATGCAGGTTAATATGCTATAAGTAGGTGGTGATTTTGTGAAGCGATTACAGCTTCCTAAAAGAATCTTACTAGTTTTCATATTTATTTCATGAGGAAACATTTACGTTGCCAGTTCACTCGCCCAAGGACTGAAATAAACTATCGATGTTCAAAGATTTTATTCACTTGTCCATTGACAGGTCATTTATAATCAGAAGTATAAAGCGTCAGAGTACCATACAATAAAGTAAAGCATTCAGATTTATGAGAAAGAGTTAAAGCATCAAGAATTGCAAATTATGAAAATAAATAAATGTCTTATTTGCATACTTTTCGTAAATGATGCAACTTTACTATATCTTTTTTATTTTGTGAGCAAGTTTTATTCCTTTCACACACTTTCCATATTAAGATGCCACTATCCAATTTTCTTTCTCTAGGTTTGATCTGGCGTTTGAAGAAATTTACCCATAGGTGGATGATAATCCAAGAGGACCAACTTCTCGCAAACATTTATTTGTAGAGAGCAAGATGTTTGAAATACTGGATACTTTGAATCACAGCTTCAAAGCTTTCCTTGATCAAGGAGGTAAGGTTTTCATCCTCAGAATCCATTAATGCAATAAGATAACATTGTACTTCCATTAACCCGTAGATGAAAGTATTAACTGTTTTCACTGCTCAAATTTCGTGTCCCATAGAAATAATTACCACCTGGGCGAGCCTAGTCTTTGAAAGGTCCTCAAATCATCTCATTATACCTCGCCATTCTTTTCCCTCGTTAAATTGGTGGCAAAAAACAGACACCTGAATAATTTTGCCTTTGACCCCAAGATGTTTTAACTCTTTAAAGGCATGGGTATGCTAAGTCGTGTTCTGAGTAAAGTTATCTACGAGGAACGCAAATTAGCATTTTATGTCATCGTAGACATTTAAAAAAAGTTCGTTATTTAGAAATGTATTGCATTAGTTGGCATGCCTCGTGCTTATCAAATTTTCCATAGGATGTTATCGTGCCCTATCGTTAAGTGTTAGTCTAGCCTGAAATATTTAAAACTTCATTGAATTAAATTTATAAATATGTAGCACTTTCTGTATCATCTTGAGCAAAGTCATAATCTCTGATACTTGGCGAAACTTTTAAATTGATATTGGCTCAAGCAAATACTTTATTAAGACGTTCTTTCGATTTCTTCAATAGCATTATAATCCTTTGCGGTATGATTTAATTTTGAAAAGCCGTAGAAAGTTTTTATTAGTCATTATACCTTAAAAAATATAGTTGCACTCAAAAAATATTTTCTAAGCAGGCGATTTTTTTTCATAGCAAAGCGAAGTCGTCTAACAAATGTTGTAAAAAAACTTAATGATTCATATTTTATTGAATTAACTGTTGTAAAAAATATTAATGATATTAACTGTTGTAAAAAAAACTTAATGATTCATATTTTATTGAATTAAATGTTGTAAAAAATATTAATGGTATTAACTGTTGTAAAAAAAACTTAATGATTCATATTTTATAAATCGAAAGTATAGTTTCATTTTATTGTGTAATATTAAAATGACCAAAGAAATCAAGAAAAAACTGTGTAGTACAACTTTTGAAGCATAGGGTACGTTTCAAAACATTTTAGCAGGTGCATTGTTTATACTTCTCGGAAATCTCACTTTTAGGTTTATTCTTCTAGACCGTAGGGCAACTTTCATGATAGGTTCATTTTCCTCCTTAGGGAAGAAACATATTCCAGAAAATGACCCTAGTTTTGGCGTTCGACCTAAATTGGTATATCATTGTGTGAAGTATATCCACAAGTTTTGTAATCCAGTAGTATCTTTTGGTAGAAATTATTCTATGTTTACTCGAAATCTGCTTATCTCGTTTTTATTCGTATTGATTTTGTTATGCAACATTTTAAATTAGAGTGCAATGCCAATTAAATACAATTTCTTTATCCTTTTAATGCATTTTCGCATAACCGGAAAACATGCGCGATCATGCTTCTTTTTCCTTCATTGCATTCACTCATACAACACGGTTTTTGAAACATTCTCCACCTCTTCGTGTATTTTCCTTTATCTTTTTCTCATATCTTCCGTGTCATTAAAACATATGCTGCTGAATATATATACATTCATTTTGTCAAAGTATCTCAAAGCTACCTTGACTATAAATACTTTGAACTTTTCTTTTTCTCCCTTTCGACTTTGAAAGTTACTTTGACATGTTTTTCTGTGCTGTTTCTACTGCGTTTGGGTCTTTTTTGACGAATTTGAGAGTACATTTTTAGGATATATAGCACTTAACCTAATACAGAGTGTATGCTTTCCCTAATAAAAGTTGATATTCTCATCAGAGCACTTTCAATTATGGGCATGTAAAAAAATCTTGTCCTGATCGATAAATATTATCTTGCTAAGTATCGTGATTTCAACTCTTACAGTATATAAAACTCTGCTGCAGGTCTTGCTCGCATGGACGCAGAAAATTATTGAAATTTGAAAAGACATGTTAATAGTAAATTTGGTCGTAGGACAAGTTTAACTAGTCGTTGTGCGACTTTGGTATAAAATCCTGATGACCAACAATACTCATAATTTTGTTGCAAAAGCAAGGCAGATATTAGTCTGATTATTAAAATTAGTTCTGAACAGTAATTAATCCTTTACTGAATTGGAAAAAATATTTAATAGTTTTGTGCCCTCCATTTCTTTACAGATCCCCGAGTGAATGAATGGCCTATGATGAAGACCCCCTTCCCGGGCATGGCCATGATCGCTGCTTACATTTACTTCGTCAAAGTGGCTGGGCCACAGTTCATGAAGAATAGGTCCCCATATGATCTACGCTGTCTTATGGCTATCTATAATTTCGTTCTTGTCTTCCTCAACTTATGGATATTTTTAGGCGTAAGTGAAATCCCATTTTTCCATTTAAATAGTGCATGTTTTGTAATATTTTAAGTCATTTTTTCAAATTACGCAAAATAGTTTTTCATTACTCATGATTAATATGCTTTCATGAGATGTTAAAAGAAATGGGTCTGTAATGAGAAGAGTTAAAACGGCAGTTTGAGAGCACTCACTTTGTGTCTGACGACCACAGGTTCTCGGGTGAGCCGATATATAGACATCATTAAACCATATATTACTAAGCTATTTGTTGCATTTGAAATTGTTGTGAAATGCGCACTACCAAAGCAGACCCAAGTCCTTGCTTATCAACCGGCAGTCCCAAGCGCAGTCCAAACAGGATACCCACTCAGTCAATGAATCTAAAAATGTATTCCAATGAAACAGTCGGGATTAAAACTTGACAGTTCCTTTACTGTCCCTGGACCGTTTAACATGGTCTCTGTATAAACGAAGGTTCTAGTCTTCTTGAAAGTATTGCGTTTATTTCCACCATAGCTGGCACCTTTGATGTATAAACGCCACAGTTGCGGTGGGGTCTCACGCTCATTAGCCACATAGCCCATATAAGACACCACCACGTTGCCGCCCACCACCAACACTTCGAAGTGAGCCCTGAGGGGAACTTGTCTTGTGTAGGACTAAAATGAACGAATCTGAATCCTGTCTTTTATTTACGATGTGCAGTTAGTTTAATTTCTATAAAAGAGTAAGCCTTATCAGTGGCCAATTGATAAGGTCACTGAATATTTAAATGATACAGATTACTATACAGATTTGGGATCGAATTCAAGCGAAAGAACTGATTGTACGGTTGGTTTTCCTCATGTGCAACTTCAATACGAGCCAGTTTCCTTCAATGTTCTGCACAAAGGCAAGCTTTCTCTTAACCAGTTAACTGTGATTGACGAGTATACTCGTCATGCGTATAAAGCAGTGTAAACAACGAGCGTATAAAGCAACGTAATAGAAACAGAAAAGAAAAATAACAACAAAGAAACCGGAGCTAGTGATTGTTTATAATAAAAAAAAGGGTGGAGTGGATATGAGCGATGGAATTATAATAACGTACTCCACAGCGAGAAAACGACTCAAAGTACTACAAAAAGATATTTCTCCATTTCTTAGACATTATGTGTCTGAATGCATTCATATTATATAAAAAAAATAATGTAACATTATCGCATATCAACTTTTTGCTCAAATTTATTGACACTTTTGTGACGTATCCATTTGAAAGAAATAAATCGACACAAACTCGGAAAATTAGACCTAATATAAGCCAATTAGGCGGGAATTGTGTTCCGGATTATATACCCGGAACATCGGAAAAAAACAACCCTACGTGAAGGTGTTCGCATTGCTACAAACGCAAGATCAGGAAGGAATCACGTTACTGGTGTTCGATTTGCAAAGTCCCATTGTGTATAGTACCCTATTTCGCTGAATATCACTCCACAGCAGGAATTTAAATTATTACTTTTATTTGTATAATATTTAATTTATTGCATTTTTAGTTTAATGTGTATGTAATATATACTTATGTTAACCAAATAAGTAAATATTAGTAATAAAATTTTTCGTTCTATAAAATAAACCCATGTTTTTATCCAATATCTTACCAGTGCAACCTCCTCTATGATTAACGAATATACTTGTCATGGCTCGATTCTGGCGATATAAAACGCTACGCACTCTTAAACGAGAGCGCCCCAGTTAACTGGTTAAATAGCTCTCGTGTTAAGACACAATAACACGCCGAATAAATACTAATTCAGAAGTCAAACAACAAAAATCAGCGTTAATTTACAAAATTTTCACAGGACTAGTTTCGATGGTTTTACCGAACCATCATCTTCAGCTGCAAAACCGCAAATGAACAAGATAGGAAATAATGTTTAGATAAGATAAGAAAGGCCTGGACAAGAATAAGCAAGTGGCGCCATCTGTTGGCGAAACCAGAACTAAAACATAATTTCTCTAAAAGCCGAAGGCAAATTTGGATTGGAATTAGGATCGTTAACTAGAACAGAAAGATTTTTATGAATGTGAAATGCCTCTAGAAAATCCAGTTCTCCAATGGAAGATGTTTTTTGAATAATTTTGGCAGCAGAAAAATTGAAAGTGTGATTTTCGGACCAACAATGTTGAGCAACAGAAGACTTCTGTGTTTCCTTTTTTCTAACATATGCCTCATGTTCTTTGACGCGAAATTTTAAGGCTCTCTTAGTTTGGCCAATGTAAATTAAACCGCACTGGCAAGGAATCCTATAAATACCCCAGGAATTCATATCCGGAATGGGGTCCTTGAGTATAGGACGGTTGCGGTTTTGCAGCTGAAGATGATGGTTCGGTAAAACCATCGAAACTAGTCCTGTGAAAATTTTGTAAATTAACGCTGATTTTTGTTGTTTGACTTCTGAATTAGCTCTCGTGTGTTTTGTCATATTTGAATAAACCATAAAAGAATAATTTTGCTGCACAACATTAGCTTGTGTTCTTGTTGCCAAGACTATGAACAACATAGGTCGTTGTTCTTATTTGCCAGGACTATGAAAAAAAAAAATTAGATTCCTTAATACGAGTTATATGGGGACTTTCGCAAGCCCTTTGTTAAATCAGGCTGTAATTTTCAAGCCCTTTTTTCTTTGTTTAGTGCATGTCTTGTGCTGTCATTAATCACTGCATATTAAAGTGAGAAATAAAAATAAATGATCTTCGATATTTCGTTGAGGTAACTTTAACAGAATATTGCACTACAAAATTCCTGATAATGTGAAGAAAGTCGTTATGAAAACTATCTCTATTAGTACAGAAAGTGGTGCTTTCAGCTCATTGGAACCGCATTTTCAAAGGATTGTCTTTGATTCTATTACATTTTCAGAATTAATACCAATCTCTTAAGTGAAATGATTTAGTTCTTTTTGTTTTGTTTTATTTGATTACGGCAAAGTACATGAGCACCATCTGCTTATGGGAATAAATACCTCCACGGAGGTCTTTCTAATGGAAACTGGCTCATATATACATTACACATGCTGAAAACCAGCCTGTACGTGGTATTTGATTCCCGCTTGCATTAAAACAAAATATGTGCTGGATTTCTAACATACACTTGTGCCACAATATTAAGTTTACTACTTATGTAATTTTTGTGATAGTATAAGATTTTTTAAGTTTTAAACATATAATTTTTCATTTATACACAATTATCTGCATTTTTTACTGTCGTAAAAACATCTAGAATATTTTGCTTTTTTAAAATAAAGATACTTCATTAAAATTTTCAGAGCTTACTACTGGCTGTACAATAAATCAACATTTAAATTTTTTTAGAATGCTTTAAAATTAAGTATCTACTTCTATTTTGATAGAACAATCGATTGTAAGAAAAACGAATAGCTTACTATTACGTATTGCGTTAGTTTGTATCCTACATAATGTGCCAGCTTTACCCAGTTTTCACAGATACTGGATTAAGTACTTTGCACCCTAAGGCTGTATAAGGCACCTCAGGCTGTAATATTCTTTTACATGTATGTATTTACTTAATTGGCTAATCAACTGACGTCACAAGCACATCAATGACCAGGCTTAGTAGATTGTCTTCTAGAATAGCATATACTGACAAACGGCAACAAACTGGTGAGTCGATAAGATTTTTTTTATCTTTGCGGGAAACAAAACCTACGATTTGGATATTATAGAATTAGAACTAAGAGTCCTTAAAACTTAACAAGCGTGATCATTCTACCTGGAAAAAAATTACGGACACATTTTAGATAACTTTAAATAAAATTTAAAATCGGACTGCTTCGATGAGAACTTTTGTGTTCTACTGACTTATTACAAATTAAAGACATAAATACCATATTACTAGTTGTTAATTCTTAGTAAATTCAGCGAAATCTTCGAAACAAGGCTTTTTATGGTTCTAGTTTTGTAAACGCAGATTAGTATTCAACGGGGTGTAAATGCTTTTCAAGTACTTTTGAATGTAATGTTATAGATCTACGATTCCCCAGATCCCTATGCATCTGAGTTAACAATCTTTAACTCAAATTTGATTTGTTTATGCAAATCTGAATAAAAATAACATGTACGTAACAGCAGGGATCAAAGAAAATCAGCTTCATGGAAAAATGTTCCTAAAACTCAAAACACATTTTACCAGTTTATTTTACGGAATCTAAAAATTAAAAACTATTTATTTGATTTTTAATTAATCCGAAGTTTCTTTCATAGATTGGCTGGTACGGTTGGTTCAACGGCTATAGTTTGAAATGTCAACCGGTGGATTATTCCAATGATCACAGTGCAGTCAAGGTAAGACGTCTATATAAATCCTTAATTTCTACTTTTTGAAAAGTTATGAATTAAATTTTGGAAAGTTAATCATTTTCATATACAAAATGCACATTTTAGATGTAAAACTGAGCATGAATTTTGTGTGAAATCTAACGAATGGCAAAACTTCAGAAATTGGTTTTAGATATTAAAAATGTTCATGAAATAAGGATGAAATTTGGCCTTTTAACATATATGCACATTAAAATCATAAAAGTTCTTAAATTATCCGATTTTAATCCAATGAAAAACATACATCAGAACAAATATCTTGTCTAGGTGGCAAGAACTCTGGGAATGCCAAACGCTGAACAAATTAAGGCAGGTAAAGCCCAATTTGGAGTATTGGGAGTTGAGAGGAAATCGAACGGAAGATGTACTACTGGTTCGCCTACGTATTGGTCATTGCAAACTGACACATCAGTATCTCTCGAAAAGAGATAACGAGCCTATTTGTGGCATTTACAACGTTCCTGTTTCAGTCAATCACATTTTCCTTTTGCTGTCCTGCTTTTAGTCAGAAACGTGAATTTTATTTTAAATCTACGAATGTTAACAGATCTCATTGGAAGAAACCCTCACATCAACCTCATAAGATTTTTAAAACACATCTCTTTTTACCAAATGATTTGAACTACATTTTATCCTGCTCTACCTGTTGCTAGAGCATTTCTTCTCAGTCATTTATCCATGCCTTCATCAGCATTACAGGTTCATTTCAACAATTAATCTGATACAGTGTGTTTGTGCATTTTGGATTTTATTCACCATTCGTCTGGCGCATAATAGCCTTCAAGGTTTTGTGCCATTAAAAGTCAACCAACGAAAAACAATCTTTGACATCACTTTCATTGAATGATATAAGGTACTGAGAAATTCATCATATTGAGATTTCTAGAACACAAGCAAACACATCTCTTTTTATCTTCTTCATTCGATTCCCGATGACTAAACCGGCTAATTTACATGGCATATTTGAGATTCTCACAATGTATAATATAAATATGGTAAAGTTCTTCTCAGAAAATAATGCATGAAGATGGTCATCGTGGTCCGTATCAACAGAAGCTGTCCATCACTCTGACTAGAATCAAAATCTCAATCTCCTCTTAAAAAAATTTGAACACAAATATTTATCTAACATGGAAGTATCTTAAGTATTTAGTTGTTGCTATATGCTTAAGATACAAAAGATCTATTACAAATAGACATCAAACTGTCTATTTTGTAATTTATGGGTGTAAAAATAAATAGATGGGACGAAACAGCCCACATCTTCCTACGTGCTTGTTCTGCAATGAAGCAGAAACGTAACTAATAATTATGCCAAGTGTGCCTACAACGTTAAATTTCTCTAGTGGAATTCCTACTGCCATTTAGTGAGGGAACAAAATATTTTAAACTTAATTCCTCATGGGTCATCATCCTCAAACGATTCTTAACTACATAATTTTCATTCGAAGTCCAATTTTCGCCATTACGCCCACTCACAGTAGTTGAAAACAAAGGTGCCATCTTTACCTTTCAACCGAAGGCAAAGAAAGAAGCAAGTTGGCTACAGACAGGAATCTTGCATAAAGTCTCTCGATTGTGCTGTGGTCAAAATGCATTCACTGCAATCAATAAGATAATTGACTTAGAAGTGCGAGGAAAAATAAATTAAGCATCAAAATATGACAAATGTCCTAAAATATATTGAAAAATATCGTCTTGAAACACCTCGCATCCTATGATAAGAAAATAGCAAGTCTGAATGTCGCATGATGTTTGCTGTCGAATAACGAAAATCTCTATTGTATCTTAAGTTCATGATTGTCTATGCTATGATTATACGAGTTAGTCATTAAATGCACATATAATATTACAAAGTCCAATCCTGCTTTGCAAGGTAATTTCAGTTTCAGTAATTTGCAAGTTAACCTAACAAAGCAAGTCCTTACCTTGCTTTGTTAGGTAATGCTTTAATGTAATTTTAAACAAATACACTATTTGATTGGTTGAATTTTTTCAATTTGCAGTTAAACATGGCACTGGCAGGTAATGAAATAATTATAATATTTACATAACACACCCTTAGGGAACGACTTCAGAATAATTCTGTAAGTTTAGAATTCGAGGTCAAGATTCTTGAAATAATCAAGGGCAGCCATGCCGATTTCTATTTTTGCATAATTCTTAGCTTTTTTGAACTGAATTTTGAGCCAATCATAGTGGGTTTCGTGTGTGTTTGTTGCAGTTTTGAATCTCCGATTTTATTCTCTGAATGGGTGGGGAAATCTTTACTATTGAACTTAAAATATTTGATTATTTTCTGGTTGATTTTTGATAATTCTTTGATTTGGGGGGGGGGATTTATTACATTCTTTCTAACAAGAGACATGATTATCACCGCACAGAGAACTGGGAGTTCTCCCTTTTGCATGAGTAAATTTCATATGTGCCTACACCTTTAAAGCACATTATCTTTATTATAACAGGTCGAATGGGTGTGACCATATCACTGTCATTTGTAGTACTGCCATGGTCTGGTTTGATACAATTGTGTATAAACATCAAGATCACTAACTGTAACACTGTATATTTGCTTTTCTTCAGTACTTCTTTTGAGTTCTACTGTGTAGTGTGGTAGGGGAATCATCCGGTTAGCTGTCTCGTTTTATTAATGGGTATTCCTTTAATTTAAAATTCCTCTATAATTTTATCATATTTTTAGCAATTTCTTTTGCACAGTCTTAATAGGCTTTTCGCCATTTAATAAAAACGTATGGATGAGTAGTCCTTGAACATCTTCGTAACTTCTTTTTCATCTGAGTTAGATTCAAATTGTCATGTTATCTCAATTTAAATTCTCTTATATTTTTCTTGTGCCTAGACTTTAAATCTGTACCTTTAAGTTTTCCAGATTATTTCAAAGTCGAAAATAATGATTGGAGGAATATGACCACGTGTTTCCTTGGTTGAGGCATTTCAGTATCTATTTCGGAAATTTCTTGTATCTCATTGTCTTATTTGATATCTTTAAATTTATTCTTTTGAGTAGGGATTTCTTCGTTGTCTGCTTAGGATGATTTTTTTTGTTGTTGTTGTTGTTGTTGTTGTTGTTGTTGTGGTTTATTCCGAGCCTTTTGAAATCCTTTGAATCTGTTTTAGTGAACTTTTTCTTGCGGGATTTAATACTCTTTTCTCTGATTAATTTCATGTTTAACTCCATCATGGTTCTTATACAAATGGCTTTTTCAGCTTATCAAGAATTATTCTGTAGTTAGCTATTTGCTTAATATCCGGCTCTTCAGAACTATGCTTATCAGGGCACTGATAACTCTGGATATTGCGTTCGGTTAATTCTTTTATATGAATGAGTATTTCACGTAGAAGGCCACTATAATTTTCAGTTGCATATTCCCTCATAACTTAATTAAATTTATCCAATTTCCTCGGAATAAGCGACTCCCGAACTTTGGCCTTATAAAAAAACTACTACATGCTACTATTTTGCTGGCATCCCGTGAAATAAAAAGTAAGCTTAGCAATAGTCAAGATGTGTCGCTCACTGCTGCTTTGCTCTCCATCCCAAGCAATGCTTGGCACTTTTCAGACTAATAATAAGGTAGTGTGGTATGTACTGAAGTACTGTAGTGTGGTATGTATTGAAGTTCTGTAGTGTGGTATGTATTGAAGTACTGTAGTGTGGTATGTATTGAAGTACTGTAGTGTGGTATGTATTGAAGTACTGTAGTGTGGTATGTATTGAAGTACTGTAGTGTGGTATGTATTGAAGTACTGTAGTGTGGTATGATTGAAGTGTGTGTAGTAATTGTATTGTAGTGTGTGTATTGTGAAAGTACTGTATTGTATGTATTGGTACTGTAGTGTGGTATGTATTGAAGTACTGTAGTGTGGTATGTTTGAATTGTACTGTATGTGTGTAGTGTGTATGTATTGAAGTACTGTGTAGTGTGGTATGTATTGAAGTACTGTAGTGTGGTATGTATTGAAGTACTGTAGTGTGGTATGTATTGAAGTACTGTAGTTGTGGTATGTATTGAAGTACTGTAGTATGTTGTATGTATTGTATTGAAGTACGTAGTGTGGTATGTATTGAAGTACTGTAGTGTGGTATGTATTGAAGTACTGTATGTGTATGTGAAGTCTGTAGTGTGGTGTAGTGAAGTACTGTAGTGTGGTATGTATTGAAGTACTGTAGTGTGGTATGTATTGAAGTACTGTAGTGTGGTATGTATTGAAGTACTGTAGTGTGGTATGCATTGAAGTACTGTAGTGTGGTTGGTATGTATTATAGTGTGGTATGGTGAATTCCTAGAACCACTAATTTCAGGATGACTAAGCAGAGACAACATTCCCTCCTAAATTATCTTTAAAACTGTCATGAAACTAAATTTAAAAATAAAATTCAAGCAAAAAATGCCGCATACTCTGGTGAGATAACTTTAGAGATTCCGTTAGACTCGAAATAAAGGTTTATTTAAAGATATTGTAGGAAAAGGTAACTAACTATTCAATATGATAAGGTTTGGCGCAATAAAACCACTGTCAGCAACTGAAACTATTAAGCTTATTTGCATTATAATGCTTCTCAGAGAGAATCTGATTCTTTGGAGTTGAGCCGAGATTAGCTAATTTTACCTTCTCACCATTGTACCTTGGACCTTTTTGAATTTGAATATAAATCTTGATCTTATTCAAAGAGTTGTTATAAACGAAATGAGCGATTCACAGTTAACATCTATTGCAATGGAAACTATTGGCGTTTCGCTATCCTCAAATTGAGTGGTTACATGTCTAAACTGACGGCTCTGTGTTAGTTAGAACGCGCGGTGCTGGATCAGATGGCGAGCTTTTCAGTTTCTGCTTACCAATGGGACCTCTTACTACTGCCTTTGATGGGGAAATTGAAGCTATTGTTGTGGCTATTCAACAACTGTCGATTCGTAGTCACTCTTTTGTATAGGCTGTCATATTGTCAGATTCCAAAAGTGCCCTTCAAGCTCTTCTGAATAATCAAAATAGTTCCCAAAGAATCTTAGATTGTAGGCCTTTGCTTAAGGCAATGGCACACAGAATTTCTTTCCAGTGGATTAAAGCCCATTGTGGAATTATGGGAAATGAAAAAGCTGATACTTTGACTAAGAAAGGAATTTTCATAATGCGACGCATTAATCGACCGCTTTCATTTCATACCACTAAATTGTTTGTTAACTTGACTTTTAAGAAGATTTTTAAGCAGTATGTGATTCAACTTACTATGGATAAGAGTTGGAGGGTTCTGGGAGAAGAAAGAACTTTCATTCCCAGTTTTACGAAAACGATTGTGGGAGCTCTATTTAGACATCTGACCGGGCATGATTGTTTGCGAGACCTACTCTACAGAGTGGTGGATTCCCCAAGCTGTATTTTGAGTGACTCTAATCAGCCTATGATTTTTGAACATTTAAATAATTTTATTACACTTTCTTGGGATGAGGACATTGTTAAAAAGTACTGGAGAGCCCTTGAACTAATGGCTTAAGCGCTAATGTTTGGCATTTGTAAAATAAAAATATCCGATTATTGCATCTTTTAAATTCGTTAAACTCGATGGAAGAAGTAAGATAACCATGTGCTTTATTTTGTGACTTGGCTCATGCTCATGACTTCTTTTCATGACCATGAGCCAAATCTCTTGAGCGATTAATTTGCGAACCAATTGTGAGTAGATGTCTTATAAGTTATTCCTCCACGTAAAGTTTTACTGATGTTGTTCTCAGTCTGAACCTGTAAAGGGATAGGAGTCTTAACTGACTGGTTTCATTGACTTGGATGTTGATAGTATTCAATGCATAATACTTCTTGAACAAAACAAGCATTACACTCACATCACCTACATTTGAGGTTTTCGGCATAAAATAAAATCTTGTAAACCACCAAAACTTGTTTGTGTTTTACTTCTTCAATCATTTGAAGCCTAACATTATTCAACAAGTTATTTCATTTGCAACAACTCAATATATCCATAGTGGTAACCTGGTATAAAAGAAGGCCTGAAAGCATTATAAACTTAGAAACTCTTTTGCATAAGGGTGTAGTCGCTTATCTTGAGACATCCTCATAAATGTTTGTCATATAGAATACCGTCTGACTTGCACTAAAGTGTGCCAATGACTAAGCACCATTATGAGGGCTTATTCTTCGAAAGGGGACATTTAAGCTCACATGTAAGAGTTATCTTCATGGCAGCGATAGATTATTTTTTATATAAATTATACCAAGAAAACGTCCTGTTACCACAGAAATGCAAAGCTTCAGATGATGCTTTCTACTGTGCACTTAGATTAATCATGAGTTAATTCCGAACCCTGTGTATAAGCACATTAACCACCTCATGATTCCTGATCAATTTTCTTTGCAGTTTGATAAGTTCCTTTATAGTTCTGTATAATACTTATTTATGGTCAATTATTTAACTCGTTTCTTTTTTAAATGAATGCATCAAACTATAAAATATGTAAATCTCATTAACATAAATTAACTGGGAAGAACATTTTGGTATTTGAGTTTTAATGAAAGGGAATTTTATTGCAAGTTTTTAACCATGCATAACACTGAATAAACTTTTATTTCTCTCCTCAGATGGCAGAAATGGGCTATTGGTTTTATATTACGAAGTTTATAGAATTTGCCGATACAGTAAGTATAAATGATTCTTATTTTTAATATTCGATTTTTTATTTCAAATCCTTGCATTGCAAAGAGCTAAAAATCAGTTTTATTAGAAGATAGTACATGCATAATGAAAAATAGCATAGGTTAGTTTTTTTTCACCACAAAATCTGGGTTTAGAGTGACTAAACTGCAGGGAATATTAAAAAAGATTTAACATTAACACAGAAGATGCTTGCTTTAAATTGAATTGTTTGACAAATACTTATTCTGGAAATAATAATTCAACTTGGTACCTACTTATTCTTAAAATACTTATTCTGAAATTAACCTACTATAGCATCATGACTAAAAGCTTCCATTTTTAGAGAAAGGAAAAAAAACCAATCTTCTAAAGAAGGCAACATATTTTTAAACTATCTATGGTAAAGAAGGTAGTCTATACCTTTTACAAAATGCGAGAAATGTGAAAATGGGAGAGAGATATATATAAAAAAATACTCATCACGGCACTGTACCTTTCAGTCTGTGGTTTGGTGTGAAGTATTCTCCAGGTAAATTAAATAGCATCTGTTTAAGCGAAACCTTACACTAACCGATACACATAAAATGAAAACCTTGTGCACCCATATTTTCTGAATATTTGAAAACATGCCAAAATTATTCTTAACCCCAAACCAGGCAATATTACTACTAAAGTTGTCATCTACTCACCAGTACGTTTTTGACAGGATTTAATGTTTTTTGCAGGGTTATACTAATTATCTTTATATATAACTATCACCTGAGCAATTTGGGTATCATAGGCACCCCTCAACTTCAAAACAACTTGTATGAATAGCTGATATACAAACACAGCTCTGTATAAAAAAATGTTACTTTCCGGCAAGAATTAGACTGTATATTCACCGTTATACGAGTATTTTGAGTTGTTCCGTTTAATTGTTCTCAGCTGGTTGATCAAAATCCAAATAAACTGCTATTAATTTCTACAAAACTCATCTTATTCTAGAATTTTGCTCATTCATTTATTTTTAAAGGTAACTTAAAAACTTTAAAAACTAATTTTTAAAAGTAATTTTAACTTGAAAACTTTAATTGGATTCTGCTCAAACGAATAATTTGTAAAATTAATGTTAAGGAAAGAAAATGCATAATTTCGAAATGTGTGTTAATGAAATAAAGCAACTCCAGATTAAGAGGCGGATTATTTAAATAGTCACTCCGCTGAGTGAGGCATTGTATACATTAAATTATTCAGATAGATTTTCTTTGTGGAAATGCTAGATTAGAGGGTGCTAGAGACAACTTCCCATAATGTCGAAGTGTTCTGGATGGACACAATGAAAATATGCAATCAAGTTCTCAGTAAAACGCAGTCAAGTCTTTCAAGGGTCGGCTAAAAAATGGGTAAATGACAGACTTATAATCAAAATTTCGGTTTAAGAATGAAGTATATGTATTACTGTAGAATTTTAATGCTATTATACTAATGGTACTACTGTACCACAGTTATAGAAATCATTTTTATCGTTTTGCTTTCAGTTCATTTAAAATATTATCTACAGTTAAAAATATACAAATACTTCACTTTTTAAGTCATATGAATTTAAATTAGTGTACATTATAAAAATACAACTCATATCCTTTATTTCAATTTTGCCTGAATAAACAGCAATTTTTCTAAGCAGATTTTTTAACATGGGAGCAGATTTTGATTCTTAAGTATGATTATAATGATAACAGGATTATAGCATCGCTGTCAGTATCATTTTCTATTCTATACCACAGAAATTTAAACAAAATCATTGTTTGTTATTTTCAGGGGCTTAGCTAGAGGGGGGCAAGGGGGGGCATCTGTCGCCGGGCGCAGATTCCAAGGGGCGCCAAACTGATGTTACCACATTTTAGAATTAAATGTTTTCCATCCTTGGCAAGCAGTAGGGGGCGCGAAATCTTCAGTTGTCCCTGGGCGGCGAAAACCCTAGCTACGACTCTGGTTATTTTGAATATTGATTTGTATAACCAAATGAACCTATTTTCCAGCTTAAACTGCTTGAAAATACGGGTAAATTGTTAATATTATTCTTGTGTTAATTATAATATGGGTTATTTCTCTTATGTGCTTTTATAACTGCTTTTTGATTAACTGCGAGCTAACAATGTATGTCAACCCTAGTATCACCCCAAGAAATAAGAATTTGATTATATTTCTTTTAAACACAAGGCCTTCTTGTTTTTCCATAAAAAATAATTCCTAGTTTATACGGCATGCTGTTAATATCTTGTGAGGAGTGTAGTGAAACGATGGAGTCAACAAAATCTATCAGTTTCCTTTCTTGTTATGGATTTTGGTTTTGATGTCCTACATAATGAATAATGTCTGATTCAATGTATTCGTATTTAAAAGAATACTGAAAAACTTTTTTGTTTTTCAGATCTTCTTCGTGCTGCGAAAAAAAGATAGTCAAATATCGGCTCTACATGTTATTCATCACAGCATTGTACCTTTTAGTCTGTGGTTTGGTGTAAAGTATGCTCCAGGTAAATCACAGATTCGTTTAAGCCAAAACTTAACTGATACATAAGATATACCTAGGTTTTAAGATTTTTTGGTTTGTAACCTATGTAGTGTTTTTTAATTGCCATAAAATTTTAGAAGGTACTTGCAATAAGATATTTGGTCATACAGTTCATGTATTAACAGAGCTGCACTCTTAAGATTAGAGTCCTTCAAAGAATGACTGTATTTATTGATTATAAATATTACATCTTTATAGGTGGATACAATGCCTTCTTTCCTTTCCTGAATTCCCTTGTCCACGTGATCATGTACACTTATTACGGTTTAGCAGCTCTGGGAGAGAGATATAAGAAATACTTATTCTGGAAGAAGTATATGACATACATCCAAATGGTAAAATGCTTTCTACATTTATTTTATTTCTAATAGTGAAACAATAAATATTACAAGAGTAATTCTAAATTAGTTATGCTTATCTCTCTCTGACCTTCATCTTTCTGCATTAGTATTGAACCTTATTCAAAGTGGCAATCACTTCCCTTTTTACGTTACACAATGACATTAGCATTAGTTACAGGTTCAGTTACAGAAACAGCTAGTAATTGAAAATTCAAGTAATGGCAGAATCCCTTTTATTGAATTAATTGCATTGGAGCAATTTTGGACAATGTTTTTCCTGATATTCCTAATCACATTTGCTTTTATACAAAAGGTGGTCAATTTTTATATACATAATTTTCAGAGTGTTATGCTTTAATATATTTAGAAAGAAATAAATTTATTTTATAATTCCAGAAAGGAAATAATGCATGTTCAAAATAGAAGAGAAACATGCCAAGCTGAAACAAAATTAGCAAACCAAAAACCTTGCGTTTGGCGTCAATAAGTAATTGTAACCTTGCGTCAATAAGTAATTGATTTCGAGAGCAAACAGATATAGGACCCTCTTCATCAGGAACAAAGAAAAAACTTAACTGATACATAAGATATACCTAGGTCTGCAAGACTGACATCTCAGCCTTTTACCTGCTTTCATGGTCATTTCAGTCTCAGATTTCGGACATCTCAGCCTTTCAGATTTCTTTGCTTCTGATGCTGAGGGACCTTTACCTCAAAATCAATTAAGTTATTGACTAAATCTTTGCCAAACACAAGGTTGTTGCTTTGCTAATTTAATGCATCTTTTTTATTACCAAAACAATTTTTGCAATTCTCTGGTAAATACTCGTCAGTAAATTTTTTGTTGTCAAATGGAGCAAAATGGCCACAAGATGGCCAAAAATTTACTTAAGATCTGTTGCAACATTTAACTTAATGTTCTAAACATCTTTGATGCTCCTCGAATTGGCAGTTTACTCCCCCTTACAATATAAGGTGACGATTCTGAATTAACCAATTTTAGGCCCCTAACAGTGGCCAAGTGCTTAAGATTACTGAATGCTGGTAACTTGTCCTGCTTTGATTCAGGCAAGCAAACTGGTTGTATGATTGGTTTTGCGCTTTTTCTTATGTGTAACTTGAATACGGGCCAGGTTCCCTTAAAATGCCTTTAACAAAGACATCCATCCAGGTAGCTAGGTATCTCTTGTGTGCTTTGCCATGTTCAAGTAACTAATCAGTTTTAGTCCTTGCCCGCATCGTTTTTTCCTTGACCTTCGTGTTTCGGTGCAATATTGAACCCATTTTGGAGGGACACTAGTACATTTCTTATTTTCCTGAAAAGGGTTTGCAGTTTAAGGGTTTTTATTTGAGAACTTTTTAACATATTCATTCAAACCTCATTAAAGTCTATTTTGAAAGAGATTTCATTTTATTGGTTCCTTATAAATATATACTGTCATTGTTGATTTACATCATATATTTACTTTTGATGATTAAGCAAAAGTTCATGGAAAAAACTGGAAATGATTTGGCTTTGCACTTACAAATTTTAGTTTTTAATTTACTGCATCGTTTTGGGTCAATAGGGTTTTTTCCTGCAGATGCTGAAAAAGTGGATTCTTTGTTGTAAAGAGACATTTGTTTCAATGCATGTTTTGTATATATTGCAGAGGTGGAGCATTAAAAACCTCAGATTCTGAAAAAGTTTATAAATTCAAAACCTCTCATCTTTTCACCTTTTTACTTCCTCGTACGAAGTAAAGGAAGTATTGTAATCACGAAAAATTCCGGGTTTCAGATTTGAACGAAGATATCCATTTTGACCAGTATCGAATGCAATTTAAGAATGTTTTTGAGTGATACCTGTAGGTAAGGACAGAATAAAGGACTTTTTTTTTTTTTTTTTTTTTCCCCCAAACGAATTACAAAACTGTCTTAAAATGGATTCACGAGAGATGTTTTCGTGGCATCTGTACGTATGTATGTATCCCGCATACGATTAAAAAGAGTAGCCTCAGAGCGTTGAAATTCTGTATATAGGACTGCTACTACATGTAATTGTTCCCCTCTCTTTTTGGTTGCAATCGGCCTCACCAAAAGTATGTATATGTACAGACTCTGTTTCTCGGCTCAGTGAGCTCAGTTTTTTATTCTTATATATTAGTAAATTGTGCATTTTTTTTGCTTTAAAATTGATTGAGTTATGTTTTTCTTATCTTCTGGTTAAGGTTTTTATGCCTCTAGCTAATCTGCATGCAATAGTTGTAGAATTATTAACAATTAGAAAGTTGTTTAAGTACGGTTAATTATTTTTTTACCATAGCAGCCATATTTGTTTACGTTTGAAACTTAGCAGAATAGTGAATTAAGTCTTTCTACAGCTTGAGTGTTTTTTTGCCAAGTGGAACCAAAAGGAAACTTTTAATTTTGTGCACCGAAAAATCTGCTTTCTTGCATGCTGACCAATTGCTTGTTTTTGCGTAGAAACTCTTAATTTTAATTGTAAAAATTCCCTTTCTAATTGTTTTAACTGTATTTACTGTTGTGTTGCTCTATATCTTTCAATTTTTAATCAAGATATTTTGAGGTTTTGCGTATTTTTGCCTTGCCGCGAAGTGAGAACTGAATTAATCGAATGAGAAATATATCTCTAGTGAAACTCTAGGAAATAAGTTTCAATGAGATGCAAGAAAAAATTAGTATAATTTAATATTCCGTACAAGGAAGTCGTATGGTGTATACATGAGATTTTTATGCAAAGGATTGTCTTTTCAGGATTTCGGGTTTATCCTATGCAGTTAAAAAAACAATTGTTAGTCGTGTTTGAACGATTGAAGTCAAAGTTAACGTGCGCTTCAGTTATTTGATATTTCCAATTTAATTATTCGTGGACTAATCCATAATTGTCAAAATATTTTAGTTGCTAAAAGAACTGATCGTGTGCGGCTCAGACAAGATCCTAAAATGAATTTTGTGGAAGCGTTCCATGATCTTGAATCATTAGCGAATGAACTTGCAAAAATTCGAAACTAGAATGTATACGAGTTCTACACTCATGTCCATAAATTAAGGATAATTCGGAGTCACGCGGAAACCGAACTCTAAAATAAATATATCACCTGTAAAATCACTAGACATCTTCAAGAATCATATGCAAATTTCAGGAAGTAACCAGATGACACCGATGGTACGTCACAATGACGAGAGTGTAAGAGAGTGATATATAAGGAATACAGGCAAAGAAGTAAAATTGTTCGCAGGCGCTTTATAAGCATTTCAGAGCAATAACCGAATAGTTTTGACACAAAGGACGCATTTAGATGATTTTTTACATGGTAGAATTATCGGCCGTCTGGAATGTGGGCTTACCCAACTGGAAGTATCAGACGAACTTGGAATTGCCCAAAGTGTCATCTCCAGGCTTTGGCAACGATTCCAAGATGATGGTAATGTGAGTAGACGTTACAGCACAGGTCGCCCCAGAGTTACAACGCCGAATGAGGACCGGCATTTGGCAGTTACTGCCAAAAGAAACAGGCGGAGCACAGCCTCAGACCTGTCTCGTTAGCTCTCTTCAGCCACTGGTACGACAATTTCAAGGCAGACCATGTACAGACGCTTAGGACAGATTGGTCTATATGCTCGTAGACCTGTCAGATGCGTTCCACTTACTGCAACTCTCTGTCGCCTGCGGTTAGCCTGGAGTAGAGAGCATGCATTGTGGACACCGCAACAGTGGGCTTGTGTGATGTTTTCCGACGACTCCAGGTTTAGCTTGCAGTCTGATTCTCGCCAGACTTTCATATGGAGAGCTCCAGGTACCCGTTACCACCAAGAAAACGTCTCTGAACGACACCGTTACGGTGGTGCAGGAGTGCTCGTTTGGGGTGGAATTATTCTGGATTCCAGAACTGACCTGCATGTTCAAATTGGAACCATGACAAGCCAAATCTATCGGGACTTCATTCTGGAACAACATGTACGTTTGTTTCGGGGCACCATGGGCGCACAATTTGTGTTTATGGATGACAACGCCAGTCCTCACCGTGCGAACATCGTAAGCGAATGCCTTCAATTGGAGGATATCACCCGTATGGACTTGGCCAGCATTCTCACCGGACTTGAATCCAGTAGAGCACGTGTGGGATATGCTTAGCCGACGAGTTGTAGCCCGTCAACCTCCTACATGTCTACCGGAACTTTGGAGAGCATTGCTTTTTGAGTGGTGTAATATCCCCCAAGATCAGATCGATAATTTGATACTCAGCATGCCTAGGCGTTGTACGGACTGTATTGCATCGTCTGGGAGACATACAATGTATTAACAATCATACCAACCATGTAATATTCTTTTTTGTAAATAGGTGTTTTTTGTAATTTGCTCCAGGGAGAGAAAAAATCGCTATTTTTTAATAATATCTTTTTTTTGCTCTTTACCTTTTTGTTAATAAATAAGCTTTACAAATAAGTCAAATGTGTTTTGCTTCTAACTTTTCCTTTGCCTGATTTTGCATTATCCTTAATTTATGGACATGAGTGTAGAAGAGGCAATAGAAAAGGCCAAGTCTATTTGTAAAGAATGGGGTATTGATATATCAATTCAATTTAAAAAAGATCAAAAAGTGCGCGGAGAATCGAATAGAGTATTTGCTTTATGAAAAGCATTCCTCATCATCTGCAGCAGAAAGTAAACGATTTAAACGACTAAGTGATCTTAATTCCAAATTTGGATATTTATTGGACACCTCCTACTTCTTTGATAAATTGTTTGGACTTGTTCTGATGTTATAGTTAGGTAGGTGAACTAACAGCAACAGCTTGTAAAGGTGGACTCGTCTTAAAATGCGAAACTTCTTAAATTCTTTCCATGTGATAGCAATCTGATTTCTTTCGGTCACTTTACTAAATTTGGTGAGTTTAAAAACACTAATTTTATCACACAACTCTGGGAAGAGTTTGGCTGCGAATATCAATTACAGTGTGTACATTTTGAAATTTAAAACAATCCAAAGATGCCGCACTGAAAATGGCCGACAACAGCTAGCTAAATAATTTACCAAATTCAGCGAATTTTCAATGTGAAACGAACGAATTTTAATAACGAATTTCAATTTCCTATTTATATAATAATTTAGTTTTTTAAAGATATATAATTCTAATAAATATGGAAATGAGAATCGCTCGAAAGAACGAAATATTGTGAACCCAATGCTTATTTTAAAACGTTCAGAATAATAAGTAGATAACACGCATGCCAATTTCGACAACTTCTAGGAAGTGCGAGCAATGTTTAGAATTCTTGCACATATATAGAGGGCAGATATTTATAATATCCACGTATGAATATCGATGTCCTATTTTAAAATATATTTAAAAAGTAATGTATTGAGTTTCATGAAGTCTAGCAAAAGTTATACGTCTTTTTTTCATTTTCAGGTGCAGTTCATTGGAGTGATAATTTATGCCATATCCCTGTCATATAACAAGTGTGACATATCGAAAACTTTTATCGTTATGAACTTCATCCATGCTTTGTTGTTTTTTGGCTTGTTTCTTAACTTCTTTGTTAAAAACTATTCCAAGAGGCCATGTTTTAAATTCTCTCCTATTTCGGTGCCATCAGGTAAAACCTTGCGTTCAGATATCACCGGCACTGTGCATGAGCATATAAGTATCTCTGCAATACTTCAGAAAGCTCAGAAGAATGGCGGTCACGTTAGTCACTTGGTATCGCAAATGAATCGCGAAGCTGAGAGCTTACGAGGACAACTTGACAGCGGAGCTGTAGAAACGTGTTGTCACCTCAATTGCATAGCAAGTCGCGACCCAGCCTTCACAAAGTGTGGTAAGTCTTTCAACTACTGCCTACCACAGGCGCTGACGAAGCAAAATACAGCTCTTGCATACTCAGAGTCCTCTACGGCAATCAAGAAACTCAAAGCATTGTGAAAGTTAACCACAAAATTGAATTTCTGAACAGATTTTTGAGAAGAAATTGCTATGTCTGTGGACCTATGGTGGGGACTGACACTGATGTACAGTTCTTTTAATGTATATAGATAGCTTGAGATATGTCTATTTGTAAAGCTTCCAGTTAGAGAATATCAGCAAGGAAACACCAAAAGTGTTATCTTGAACGAGGTAATATAATTGTATTTAGAAAGCATAAAGAATAAGATAAAACTATTAAATTTGATGTTAAATATTTTGTTTTTCCATTCACTTTTTAAAATTGAATACAACTTTGAAACTAAGTACTTGGAAGTATTGTGTTACATAAAAGTACATTTTTTACAAAAACAAAAATTTACAATTTGAATTTTTAATGATTTTTAATGTAGTTCAAGGTTTTAATTTGTGAGACTTGCTAGAGTTTAGTTTTTTAAGTCTTCATAAAGTGCACATATCCATTTTGGTGCAATTTTTTTATGTATGGAGATAATATATCTTGTAGTATTCTGGTACTAGAGTTATAAAGCATGCAAGGTTGTATCCAAATGTTTTTCATTAAAATTTCATTTAAAAATTTTTGTTCTTCTTAATAGTTCAGACATTCACTGATTTTTTTTCATTTATTCATTGAAATTTAATAACTTAAAACACTACCATTGTTTATAAAAATATCATTTGGATTACAAACTAAATATATTTTAAATTTTATCGAGTTGAGTACATAACATGAAAAAAATCTATGAAGAAGTTACTTAAATCACTATCTGTTGCGATTTTAAATACATTAGATTGAAATATTGGGTCAGTCCATAAATTTGTGCGCATGTTTTGGTAACTTTTTAAATAATATAAAAAAAGCAATTTACCATTTTAATCAATTATATATTTTCCTCCATTATCTACAATATCTCCCCATCTTACAGGCAGCTTTTTTATGCCATTGCTGTAGAAAGATTCTGGTTTTAATGAAAAAAAAATTGAAAGTTCATTGTGTACATCCTGTTTAGAATTTAATTTTTTTCCCAGTAAAAAAATTTGTTAAGGCACGAAATAAGTGAAAATCACTTCCGGCAATATCTGGAGAGTAAGCAGGATGTGGGAAAATTTTCCAATTAAATTCAGTAATTTTTTGCAGCGTTGTTCGAGCCGTTGTTCTCATGATGAAACAACACTTTCTTGATATTCACCAATCGTGGGCGTTTTTGATCAATTCTGAGTTTAGACGGCAAAGTTGTTCACTATAAACTTCTGAATGAATCGTTTGATTTGGTTCTAACAGTTCAAAACGTCCTGAACGGGGTTCATCATCGATGCTGCTTTTTCCAACTATAAATTTTTAAACCATTTCTGGACTGTCCTTACACTAATAGTGTGTTCACCCTGTACACTATTAATTCTTATCGCTGCAAACCCGGCAGATTCACCACACGAAAATAAAAAATGTAGCACAGCACGTTTGTACTGATTATTTATATTAATCTTCTATGGGTATTAAAATGCGTTCGATATTTACGGAAGTTGGTGATGAACTGAATAATATGTTAGTCAAACGATGACAAGTTTTAACAGGTTCGTAATTGTTTTGTGGTTGTTACTAATCTCCATGTCTAGGAATAAACTAGATGAGGTTCACGAGTTCATTCACCTTCAGAAAATCGAAAACAAGCTTAGAAAGACTTGTAAAGGTCTTCAAAAGACAACTCCAGGCATTCAAGGATATGTGCCGGTGATGCCGGTACATTTTGACATTTAGAACTAATTGGGTGCATCTTGAGCCCTCTCTCAAACGTAAGTCCTTTCAGATGTGCACTGAAGAATCGGGAAAGTGTTGTCTGAACACATCTATCGCAATCAATAGCAAGAGATCTTCCAAGACAATCAGCTTGATACCAGGGATGATTCGGGAACGAGTCAAATTGTCCTGTCTGCATGTCTTCTAATGGAATACAGTTCAAGATATGTCAATGAATTGGTAACTGGTAATGGTTCTTCAGAACCCTCCTTCGCCAGAATGTCTGCCATTTCATTCCCCCATATATCAACATGGGAAGGAATCCACTGAAGGTGCACTTCACAGAGTGACGAGACCTGCTTAAGCCTGCAAGAATTGTTATTCCGGCCCTATCACCAACTCTTCGCCTGTTTGAAAGATATTGGATGGCGCTACGACTGTCAGACAAAACCCATACTTCCTTAAGATCTGCAAAGGACGAAATAGCGTTTAGTCCCTCTTCGATGGCTATAAGCTCACTCATAAAAACCGAACTGAAGTAAGAATTTCCTCTCTTTATTTTAAATATTTCCATTTGTGCATTTAATGACAACTCCACTACCGGAAGATTCCTTTTACTCCCATCAGTATAGATAAGGGTAGCTTCAGCGGGAATTGCGTGTATAGTTTCTAAGGCAGATTGTCGTAACAGGGCCGAAATATAATTTTTCTTGGAAACTCGAGACAAAAATTCTGTATGAAACTTGACTCTAGGGATTGCCTCAGACGGATCTAAACATTGTTTCAAGGGATGTTGCTCAACATTACGGTCAATTATATCAGCATACTAAATTTGACTAAGTGGGCTATTTTTTCTTAAGTCTTTGGTTATTACTCCAGTGCTGCAGGAGTTCTGAAGTTCTATTTTGGGAGCCATAACTAAAAAGTTTATTATAATATTTTGCAAGGCCAGCATTTCTTCTTAGGCTAAGGGGTTGAAGGTCTGTTTCATACAATGCAATTTTATTCGGGCAGCTGTTGCGTAAGCCAATTATAATACGAGAAGCACTAAGTGGACTCTTTCCAATTTCTGGAGGCTGGTAGAAGAGGCATAACAATAAACGGTAAAACTATTTCAAAATAGGTCGTACGACAGCTGAATAAGTAGTTCTCAAAAGGCAAGCATCGGCTCCCCAATCACGTCCCGAGATATATTTTAAAATGTTTAGTCGTTTTCTGCCCCTAAAACCAGTGCATCCACATGTTTGTTACTAGTGATCTCTGAATCGAGAACAAAGCCCAAATATTTGGGATGTTTGTCATACGTAAGAGGAAAGTTATTCATAAAAACTTTTGGATGATAATTATAAAACTTCTTATTGGTGGCAAAAAAACTAACAGTAGATTTAGTTGGATTAAAACTCAATTTGTGGTCTTTTGAGAATTTCCACACTTCAAAGATAAGATTTATATTGGTCTCAGTTGAACTCGCATCTGGGCCAGAGCTCCAAAGGGCGATATCATCCGCAAATAGCCCAACCTCACATCTCCTTGATATAATCTTCTCAATTGCAGCCAAATACAGACAGAAAAGAATTAGGCTCAACACAGAACCCTGGAGGACGCCTTGGCTCAATTTAAAGGTGTTTGATATAGTGGAATTAAGCTTTATTTTTATCAGTCTATTTCTTAAGAAATCTGCGATGCAGGTCAAAGCTTTACCCCTGATGCCAGTCATCGCATAGCTTAATAATTAGTTTGTTTCTATATACGGTCAAATGCCCTTTATAGATCTATAAAAGCAGCCACAGTATGATTGGTAGGACGCTTGTTTCCCAGAAGTTACATCGGTTTGGCCAGGTTTTCTCAACAGGTATGATTGTGGCTCTTTTCCACTCTTTAGGAAGGCGTCCAAGATTGATTCACAATATTCAGAAATTTCTTTCTTGCATGAATGCCAAGATACCCAATCATCTGGCCATAGATGCCATAAGGTCCAGGAGTTTTGGTCCAGTCAAGATCCTAGAGTCCCATCTCCAATTCATGCATGGAGAAGGATTAAAAAAAGGGGATTTCCCGACACAGCACTATGACATCCCTGTCCAAGATCTCTAGACCTTTTTGCCACTTCCTTATCAACCTCTGTAAACGTCAGCTCACTTATCTTCTGGTAATGTGGCCCGAGGAGATCAACCACAGCATGTTGCCATCTGTATCTAAAATAGCATTACATCTCTTTATATGAGGTTGTTCTCTGAGCTAATATTTTTGATCAATTTCCACAGTTTCGTGTCAGATGATCTAGCATCAAGTTCCTCGCATGTATCCATCCAATTTTTCCTCTTGAGCAGCACATAGATTCGTTTTATTTCTGCATTGATTTTATTCATCTCTGTCCTGTTTTGCTCTATACTATTATTTTTCAATTCGAGTCGCAGTTTCTCTCTCTTCCGGAGCAAAGGCAGCAAAGCCGGCAAATTATGAGTAAAGTATGGATTAAAGAGCTTTACCTTTCCTCTAGGTATAGTTCTTTTAGCTCCCTTGAAGAGCATGTACTTGAAAGTAATCCAGTTAGTATCAAGGTCATTTGAGTGAATGCTAGGTTCAGCCAGTGTTTCAACGAGATCACCAAAGGCCTTCCAGTCTGCCTTAGCAAAATTCCAATATTTTTTACGATTGAGGATTATTTTTTACGATACTCTTTCCTTCTTATTTCAATTAAAATTGGAAACTGGTCACTCCCATTATTCTTCATAACTGTCCAGGTGCAAATTGGAAAGATAGTGGGACTTATAATAGACAAATCAAGGGTTTCAGACGTGTTATAGCAGTATGAGGAGTGCGTTGGAGTGCCATCATTAAGGATCATGAAACCCGAGTCATCTGTAGAATGAAGATCAATTCCTCTGATTCTGGGAAGAACATCCCTACGCTGGATGCTTAGCATTTAAGTCACCCAGAAGTAGAATATTTCCAGATAAAAGATTATCAGAGACTCCAGGCAGATTACCAATGTTAGGAGGGTATGCATAAATTAAAGATGTTTAGTGGTTCACCTCTCCACATAACAGTGATGCCTTGCAACACTAAATCTGCCATAAACACACACGCCTTTGAGGATAAAGACTATCATGGGACTCTTACTAGACGCATAAGTGAACATAAAGTGCAGCGCTATGTTGTTTATCCAGAAAAGGTTAGACCGCTCAAGGTTGTACTTAAAGGATTACCTGAAGATTGCTCGACTGATGAAATCAAAGACTAACTCGTTAGTAAAAGTTTCAATATCCTTAAGGCTGCACAAATGATTAGATTAAAAACACGCGTTCCCATGCCAGTGTTCCTATTACAGCTAGTTAATGAACCTGGTGCGGAAAAAATTTACGATGTTGGAAATCTTTTGCTCTTCTCTATTTCTGTGAAACTTCACAAATTCAAGGGGAGCATGGACCAGTGTCATAATTGTCAATACTTTTTTTATGCCTCGGACGAGTGTAAACTGACTAAATTGTGCACTCTCGCACAAAAATTTGACTGCCAAGCAAAATTGATCAAGAATCTTACCTGCTGTAACTGCTGTGAGCAACATGCTGCCAGCTTTTCAAAATGTCCAAAAAGCCCAGCTAATAACAAGGAAAAAAATATTTGGAAAAACTTATGATCATGATTAATAAAATTCTCGAGCACGCGGTGAAGCCATGCAAAAAAAAATAAGTTACAAATACCAAGGAACCAATTCTTCATAGTAAGAGAAGAAAGTACAAGCAATGCCTGTAGAAAATAAAAATATTCCGAAGGAAAACAAGCCTAAAATTCTTAGATCAGAGACACCTGAAATCTCTACAAATAAGAATAACAAGAATTC